AAGAATGTGAGAGAAAGAGAGAAGGAGACAGAAGGGACAGATTTAGAGAGGGAGAAACTGATAATTAAACGATAGATAGATAGATAGATAGATAGATAGATAGAAATAACTAGAATGGACATAGATAGATAGATAGATAGATAGATAGATAGATAGATAGATAGATAGATAGATAGATAGATAGATAGAAATAACCAGAATAATCCAGAACGGACATACAAAGAGATAGATAGATAGATAGATAGATAGATAGATAGATAGATAGATAGATATAACCAGAATAATCCAGAATAGACAGATAGATAGATAGATAGATAGATAGATAGATAGATAGATAGATAGATAGATAGATAGATAGATACGAATATACTGAGATAGATAGCAAAAATAAATAACAACATGGACATACGAAAAATAGAAAGACGGTTCATTAATAAATATTCTCAGATACGAATAGACCGTGCTAATTTGTTTTGCTATACTCTAGCAGCCTTTGTGACCGAAATGGTAAAGCGCGCCTGGCTAAAAGATGGTTTCCCAAAATAAGGCTAGATTTTATTTATCAGAATTCCGATGGTGCCGAATTGTGAACACATGTACGCCAAAAAATAGCGTTCATATATATATATATATATATATATATATATATATATATATATATATATATATATATATATATATATATATATAATACATAAAATATTAATTGTCGAACTTGAATCATACCGGAAAGAGTAGTATTAAAAAGTGCTCAATATAAATGGGAAAAAATAAAATGAAAGTAAAAATGACATTTAAAAATTTTAACTTTAAAACTTCGGAGTTCAATTGAATCCGCTACCTTGGTTTCAACCTTACGCACTCCTCAGGCGATTTTTATCAAATGACCTCTTAACGCTTTATTTTTTTAATGTTTATTCATTTTTGAAAATAATAATATAGTGTTCATTAGTTTAAATAAAATATGAATCCTTAAGAGGGCATTTGATAAAAATCGACTGTCGATACAATATATATATATATATATATATATATATATATATATATAGAGAGAGAGAGAGAGAGACAGAGACAGAGACAGACAGACAGACAGCGAAAGATTGATTGAAGAAATTTTAACGTTTTTCTGGTTATTTAACGTCAGGCAATGTTTTTAGATTGCAAATTGTTTTTGGAGATAATAATGATTTACTGAGGAGTAAATATGAAAAATGGAAGGAGGTATGAGACAAGGATGCATCATCTCACCGGATCGTTTTAACTTTTACAACGAAGCAATCCCAGTGTTGATGGCAAACACAGAAGATTTTTCTAATCTGAATCACCTTAAGCAAGGCAGTAATGCCTCTAAATCACAAAGGGTTACAGGATGTGGAAGAATTAGAAACAGAAACATTAAATATGAGCAGAAAGTAATCAGGAGAATAGTAGATAACGAATGACTTTGAATTTAAATTTTTGCAGATTAAGGTAAAGTGGAAAGAAGAAACTATTAGCATAGAACTTACGGCTCCATCTATCCAGCTCAAATGTAAATCGATGAGATCTCGTCGCCAGACTCGTGCTGCGTTTAATTTTTTTTTAATTCTAGGTACCATAGCAAATAGCTCATTCGAACCATTACAGTGAATGTATATATAGAAAAGACACAGAGAGGCAACCTTACGGCCTTGGGAGCTGAGTCGCCAGATCAGGACCAATAACATTGCAGATTCTTCTTTAGATCTTATCAAGGAGCTCAAGGTAAACAGCAGGGGCACCGGACCAATATGTGGCAGCAATATTCTAAGAATGGACAAATGGTAGACTTATAAATGTGTAAGATAGATTCTGGAGAGAAAAATTGTCCCTCCCGGCATAATGAACCGACTTTCTTAGCAGCTGACCTAGCAATGAGTTCAATATAGTCTTTGCACTTCTTATCAGCAGAGAACGTGAGCCGAGAAGAAAAAGAAATAGAAACTTCTACACAAGGTAGTAAAGAAATACGAGAAAAAAGGACTATCAGTTGTAAGTAGGCAGAATATATATATATATATATATATATATATATATATATAGATAGATAGATAGATAGATAGATAGATAGTCATCTACAGACAGACTGTTTCGCTGTGTGGCTAAACGTCCAGTTGCCTCTAACTAGGACCGAAATCCGGCTGAATTGGTGTCAGTTGAAGATTCTACCATTAAGCCTTTGGCGCAAGGCAGGGATGAAAGAGAATTTAAGCGTATTTATTTTTAGATAAACACACAGTGAATGAAAGAACTTGATTCGTTTTACCGAAAAGTCTTGCATTATTAACAGTAATAGTCCCTGTTTACAAACTCACACCTCTTTCCCCGAGAGCTCAACCAAAATAAATTATTCAAGAGCATATAGTGTCATCCACAGATGCCATTATCAAAGATAACAATTACATTTCAATATATTAAACAATACATGGACAAAATAATAATGATAGTCTATTTTTCCAAGTCACCACAAACTCGTGCATACGATACTCTGGAATCGAAAATCGCATCGCAGCTCGTGACGTCACACATGACCACGCGAGAGTGAAAACGAGAAATATTAAGTATGGGAAGCCGTTGGTATAAACCAATGGCTTCTGTTATCAATTATAGGCATTTAAGAATATTTGTGTTAGTAAAGCTTATCAGACAATATGAAATGAATTTACTTAAAATAAATAGACAAAACTTAAAATTTAATGAAACATGCCTCAATATATATATATATATATATATATATATATATATATTTGTGATGTGTTTAAGAAATGATGGAAAATGTGACATCGAAATCCGAATGCGTATTGCGATAGCGAATGATGCCTTCCAAACTCTGTGTAAATTAACAACAGGATAATTTCATTAGAAATATAGAAACGGCGAAGACAAGTCAACAGTGATGTGATTCTACAGAAGGATGCTGAGAATACCATGAACTGAATATGCAAGTAACGAGGATGTTTTAAAGAAAATGGAAACAAAAAGACGCTTGGAATATTTAGGATACATCTGGCAGATGTGGAGACGCAGATGTGGTTCTACAGAAGAATGCTGAGGATATCATGGACAGAGCGTGTGAGCAACGATGAGGAGGCTTATAGTTAACATCAGAAAGAAGCAGCTGGAACACATAATGAGGAAGGAGTGCCTAGAGAATCTGATACTCACAGGTCGAATAGAGGGAAAGAGAGACAAGGGAAAACAACGCATGACATACCTGGCGGGCTTAAGCAAGTGGATGGCAGAAAGTGGTCTGGAGGAGGAATGAGAGGGAAGGAACTTGTTGAGAGCTGCAAGGGATAAGGGGAGGTGGTGAGCCATGATCGCCTACGTCCTGAAAAAAATAAAAGTAACAAACGTCTTTTGGATGGATGAAGACGTGACATCTGTCCTTCTTTACGGCAGCGAATGTTGGACGATTTCCTCAAAGATGAAGAAGTGACTCGAGGCGACGGAGATGTGGTTCTACAGAAGGATGCTGAGGATATCATGGACAGAGCGTGTGAGCAACGATGCTTATACTTAACATAGTTAACAATAAAATCCCAAATTACCTCATATGAGTAATTTTGGATTTTATTGTGTACTACAATTTGCTATATATAATAAATACATTGAGCTCTTTTTGTGGATCATTTTTAACATTTTATATTACTAGGATCCACTTGGATTATATACCAACGGATTTATTACCTTTATTATATATATATAAAGTTTCTAAAAAATAAAAATCTATTAAACAATAGACATGAGTTAACGGTTTTTTGCCGACATCATCAAATTTATGCACTGAATTAACTAGCTAAAAACAAGCATACAATATAATAACTTCTAAAATCCATAGCCCAAATAGTTTAAATACCCTACAAAAAAAGATAACCCTTTATGAAGTCGTCTAAAAACAAATGTTACGGCAGTTTTTATATGATTAAATCCCTTTCATAAAAAAACTAAAATAAAAAAATAAATAAAACTCCATAGACACGTAAACCAGACTAGGCGAAAACATATTCCGTTTCAAATTTAGACACCCCCACCTTACCCTGACTTGACATCTATGAAAGTAACTCTATACTGATACTTATTATTAACACCCAACACACCCCTAAATATTTTAAACAATTCGCCCTGGCTGTTACCATGGAAATTTTGATTTCAATTATGAATATACTATTAAAAAAAGGAAAATTCAGAAATAATTTATTCCCAAAAAATTTCGCTTGAAGATGGAACAGAGCTTACTTTAATTCAATTTAATTCAAATAATTATATTGAAGTTTTCGGCTCTTGTTTTGAAACATGAGACTTCTTATGTCATGAGTTGGAATCATATTTTTAAATAAATAATTATATATATATATATATATATATATATATATATATATATATATATATATTATAAATTAATTGATTTAGAATATGGTTTTTTTCGCTACACAGTTCCAACCATGTTTCAAAAAAAACATATTTTAAATCAATTAATTTATGATATTAATGCTCTGTAAATTTACATTGAGCACTATTTTGTAAAAATAAAAATATCTATAAGAACACCGGATTTTATATCTTACTGTTCTTTCTTTTTATATATATATATTAATAGTAGTACTCGTTTGGAAAACCTCGGATAGCTCTCCTTGAAGATGTTTCAGGACAAATCGGTACTCGAGGAAAAAATTGGAAATAAATAAAGAAAGAACCAAAAACATCAGAACAAGACGAGACAAATCTCCAAAGGCTTTAAGTCCTTAGTTCAAAGAAAAAACAAAGGAGTAGAAAGACTATAACGTAGAGTGCTCAATACGCTAATTAGAGCGATAAACTAGAACAAATCCTAAGGAGCCAGGCAAACCTACCTAGGTTTCACCTACACGGATCTTCAGGGTAAAACTGGCTAAAAAAGGAACAGTATTTATTGATAAAACCATTAAAAACATTAAAAACTAATAAGCATTAAAACCACGTGACAGAAAAAGAGAAAAAAATCAATAGATAGATAGATAGATAGATAGATAGATAGATAGATAGATATGAAGAGACCTAGATAGATAGATAGATAGATAGATAGATAGATAGATAGGGAGAGAGAGTGAGAGAACCCTTAAGAGCCAGGAAAACCTACCTAGTTCCGTTGAGGTGACTAAACGGACCGTCAGGGAAAAACTGGCCAAAGAGGTAAAAATGGAACACAATATATAGCTTAAACCAAAAACAACCATGTCCACGTGACAAAAAGAAAAAAACCCCAAAAACAAGTAAAACCAGTAAACACTCATCAACGGGGGTAGGGGTTACGTTCTTTATTCAGTAACGAAACACACACACACACACACAAAATATATATATATATATATATATATATATATATATATATATATATATATATATAGTAATAATCTTATAAATATAAGAAATTATATTCGTCCGGAAAACCCTGGGTACTTTGATATGTAAATAAACAGACCAATACCCAATGTAAAAAAAAGGTACAACAAAAGAAACAGTCGTCTCGCATCCAAGTTCAGAGTCCAAAGAAAAAAAACTGATACGTGTAAGTAAAATAACGAAGTAAAGTACTCAATACGCTAAGTAGAGCAAACCTAATTAAACCTAAAGAGCCAGACAAACCTAATAAGCTTTCACCTCCGCGGATTGTCAGGGAATACAGTATATACATATATATCAATATTCCCTGACGATCCACGTAAAAGTTCAGGTAGGTTTTCTGGCTCTTTTCGGTTTAATTTAATTATATATATATATATATATATATATATATATATATATATATATATATATATATGTTGTAAAATTGGATATACTATTTTTTATTATAATACATTTCTTATATATGTTTTTAATACTAATAATAATAAATGATTTGCATGGAAAAGAGTAGTGTGTGAATAACGGGGACAAATTGATACACTATTTACATTGTTCGGACTATCATCCTCATCTTTGTTGCCATATTTATCGCAACGTTTCGGCCGTTGTACGCTCCGGCCTTTTTCAGGTTATTGGGATATAGAACTGAGCCCTTTATTTTGCTCGCTGGTGTAGACTGTTCTAGTTCCACGTGCCATGTCTAATTGATGTCAGTTATCAGTTATCACCTGTTAATTCCCCTCCCCAAGTTCTCCACTACCTTAAACAGGTATTGAACTCACACTCTTCGGGTCCTGTCACTGGATCTAAGTAACGCCTTTGTACACTGTGCCATGTGTCCTTGAGGAAATAAAGGCTTCAGTTCGACATTCCAACCACCTGAAGAAGGCCAGAGCGTACAACAACTGAAACGTTGTGATAAATATGGCGACAAAGATGAGGACAATTGTTCGAATAATGTAAATAGAGATCAATGATAATTTTGAAGAATAACTATGAATTCCTCAATTCACTCCGGTATGGGAACCAGTAATAATGAGTGTCAGAGAAAAACAATAATAAGAACAAAAATTGCAATATGAGCTCTGGTAAAAACATGATGATAACAGCAAAAATTGCAATATGAGCACCGGTAAAAAAAATTGGCTGAAGACATTAGCTTTATAATACCCAGAACTTCATACATGGATGTCCTAAAGGTCACATGGCACAGTGGATAACGGCGTTAGTTAGATCCAGTGACAGGACCCAAAGAGTGTGAGTTCGGCGGAGAACTTCGAGAGGGGGATTAACAGGAGATAACTGATATCCATTGGACATGGCACGTGGAACTAGAACAGTCTACCCCAGCGAGGGAAATAAAGGGTTCAGTTCGACATTCCAACCATCTGAAGAAGGACGAAGCGTACAACGGCTGAAACGTTGTAATAAATATGGCGACAAAGATGAGGACAATAGTCCAAATAATGTAAATAGTGTACATAATACCTCATCTCTAATTAGAATGAACGACAAAGACATTTAAAATTTCCATTATCTTTATATTGGCAGGAATCATCTTTGAAATAATAAAGAACTGCCTGCTTTACAAATGAAAGAGTTTTTTCCATCGTGGTTTTCTTGTAATTAAGACAAGGATAGCAGTCCTCATAATACCTCATCTCAGAGATATAGACAGATTTGAATATAAATATTAGAAAGAAATGAACAATTTTTTTTTTTTCACACAGCAAATGTCTACAGAATATTTTCGAAAAACGAAACAATATTTAGTTTTAATTTCAGATTCAGGGCATTATTTTAGGCAGCTTAAAATTAAATTTTCAATCGATTCAATTTCTCCTGGGTTTTATCTTATGACAGGGACGTAGAAGAGACATTTTTTTTTTTGTTCGATGTGGTGGTGGTGCCAAAAAATTTAGAATTTTGCCTTAATTTGTCGAAGGTCACCAATATGGCAAGAACATTTAAACTTTCCAGTCCTTCTAGATTGGTAGAAATCATCTTTGAAATAATACAGAACCATTTGTGTTCCAAATGAAAGAACTGTTCATCTTTTTTTGAATTTTTTGAATGTCTCCAGGGAAAATAAAGATTCATTAATGAAGGAAAAAAAATTATTTTTTCTTAGTTTTTTTTTATTTTGGGGTGGAAAAAATGAAACAACTACAAGAATATTTTAAGCTATTGTCCTGTCCATATTCCAATACTGCATGTTTTAGTGTTTTGGGAAACGTGACTCCCTTTCTATCAATCTTCAATAAATAATCATATTCTCTAACAAACTAACACTCAGTAACCAGTTACATATTAGTGGCTTTATGGCCCTGAATGAGTTCAATTTGTTTATGGGGTGGGGGATTTAGAATTTGATTTTAAGTTATCAAAGGTTGCCATCATGGTTAGTGGCAAGAACATTTAAAATTTCCAGTCCCTCTAAATTGGCAGAAATCATCTTGGAAATAATATAGAACCATCTGTGTTACAAATGACAGAAATTTTCATCTTTTTTTAATGTCTATAGGGAAAATAAAGGTTCATTAATGAAGGAATTTTCAAGTATTTGGGTTTGAAAAACATAAAACAACTACAAGAATATTTTAAGCCATTATCTTGTCTTCATACCAATACTACGTGTTTTAGTATTTTGGGGGAGATCGTGTCTTGAAAATTCCCAAAATAGGAGGCCTCGATGTGACTCCATTTCTGAAAACGAATTTGCAGCTTCTATTAAATTAAAATGGAAACGCAGCCAGGCGATAAAGGAAAATTACCATCAATGTATACCATTCAAGAAGAATTCGTTCATCGGTGTTTTACGAAAATTATATTCTTCCTTGATTTGATAGTTTTTTTTTCTTTTGTGGTCCTTTCTTTATAGTATTTTGTGAAATTGAAAACCTGTAAAAGATACTACAATTGGCAAAAACTTTGGATGTGTGCCTAGCCCATGCCCCCACCGGTCACTCTGCTGCTACAGCCATATATATATATATATATATATATATATATATTGAGCTTTATCTGTGGATCAGTTTTAATATGCGATATTACTAGCATCCACCTAAATTATATACCAAGGGATCTATTACCTATACTATACTATATATATATATATATATATATATATATATATATATAAAGAAAGAAAGAAAGAACAGTAAAATATATAATCCAGTGTTCTTATTGATTTTTTATTGATATTTTTTTTTATTTTATTGTCCAAAATTTGCTTGAAGATGAAATGGAACTAATGCTTTTAAATTTAATTAGATAATTAAATTTGAAGATTTTAGCTTCCATTTTTGAAACATGGTTATTACTGTATAGCGAAAAAACATATTTTAAATCAGTTAATTTATAATATATATATATATATATATATATATAATTTATATATATATATATATATATATATATATATATATTAAAAATATATAATTTAAAAAAAAACAGATCACTTTAAGGTCCTATGTAATAAATTATTTCGTTTTTTAAAGGACTGCAGATCATCAGACTTTACTTCCAAAGGTTTTTTTTTTGTTTCAACATTTGGAATTAAAGTCTGATGATCCGCAGTCCTTTAAAAGGTCTGTGGTGAAATAATTTATTACATGGAACCTTAAAGTGGTCTGTTTTATTTAAATTATTTGCTCTGGATTTACATTGAGCTCTCTGGATTTTATCCTCCTTGGGTTTACCCATACGGATTACCTAGTTGTTCATAAATATATATATATATATATATATATATATATATATATATATATACATTATGTAAATATAAAAGTGAACATGACAGGACAGTCCTTCCATTTTTATCTTATATATATATATATATATATATATATATATATATATATATATGATAAAAAATTTACATACATGCACGTAAATTGCACGTACGTATAAGTATATTTCTTCCTTGGGTGTTATAAATACAGTGCTCAATCTTATGATACAGCACTATATATTAGTGAGTATTCATAGTATCCAACGTCGATAGCTCATGCCGCGTAATTTCATGCAGTAATCTTCAGGTACAAATACAATATGACCCTATATATATATAAACACACACACACACACACACACACATATATATATATATATATATGTGTGTGTGTGTGTGTGTGTGTGTGTGTGTGTGTCATTTTATTTATTTTATTATACCCGCGTAAATAAATATACTGTTCCACTGTCATTACAATACGGTATATACGTATATATCAATATTCAAATTATGCAACAGTTTTCACTCCGTACCTGACAACTGTACCATGGATGAAACTCAGATTTGTACAAGCGGTGAGAAAAAAATGAATTATAACTCTGTTATTATACATCTCCAGTCAATGTGCGATATTATCTTTAAGTATATATATATATATATATATATGTGTGTGTGTGTGTGTGTGTGTGTGTGTGTGTGTGTGTGTGTGTGTGTGTGTGTGTGTGTGTGTGTGGAAAGTGTATATAAATATAAATAAATATATATATGTATAATTATTTATATATTATATGCGCGGTACTTATTAGAAAGCGCTCAATATCAGAGATAGAGCTAACATATTTGGTTGGATAGATGTGAGTTACACACATCCATCCAACCAAATATATATATATATATATATATATATATATATACTGCAATAAATAAATAAACACATAGATAGATAAATAGATAGATATGAACAAACTGAGATAGATAGATAGATAGATAGATAGATAGATAGATAGATAGATAGATAGATAGATATGAACAGACTGAGATAGATAGATGATAGATAGATAGATATGAGATAGATAGATAGATAGATAGATATGAACAAACTGAGATAGATAGATAGATAGATAGATGATAGATAGATAGATAGATAGATAGATAGATAGATATGAACAGGCTGAGATAGATAGATAGATAGATAGATAGATAGATAGATAGATAGATAGATAGATATGAACAAACTGGGATAGATAGATAGATGATGATAGATAGATAGATAGATAGATAGATAGATATGAACAGGCTGAGATAGATAGATAGATAGATAGATAGATAGATAGATAGATAGATAGATAGATAGATAGATAGATAATGTTCTGATTGAGATTACAAAAGGAAGGGAGAGATACATAGTCATGATCAGATCGAAATAGATTGACAAAAAGATAGATTTGATCAGAAAAAGAAAGAAAGAAAGAAAGTAAAAAAGAAAGAAAGAAAGATTGAAAGAAAGAAAGATAGATAGATAGATAGATAGATAGATAGATAGATAGATAGATAGATAGAAAGCGGTAAAAATGCCCACAATTACTACCCCAACCTCCAACCCATCGCACCGACCCACCCAATGTAGGTGAAACGAAGTCCTGATATCATTTTCTATTTGCCTTTTATCATTATTCACCCGCGGTTTCACATTCCAATTTATTGATTCAACAAACTGTAAAATTCACAATTCCTTTCCTTTCGTACGTTCCCGGGTTGCCGTCTCCACGGCAAATCGTTATCAGGAGGAGCGCTTAGATTGTCCGCCATTTTTACTTTCTCTGGACTTAAACGTAACCAATTTAATGTATGTGTAAAAAGTCGGCTTCGATGTGGTGGTACGTGACGATTATCCGATTGGTGTCAATGTATCAGGGCTCGAATCCCTAGAGGACACTGCTTACGTTTACATATCCGCCTTGGGAATGACATGAACTCGCTTCAAATTCAACACTTGTTCCTCGCCAGACGGTCAGTTTAACCGTTTCCATGCAGGAAACATTTTCGTCATTCATTGACCCAATATTAGTGTGTTTAGTAGCATATCAACTCCTTATGGGTCATTAAATGCCCGAATTTAATTTGGGGGGGGAGGGGGGACATTAGTAATTATTTTTACAAAGAAGTATTGTTAGTTTTGTTGTTTTTTTTTTTTTTTTTTTGTCAAAAATGCATTGTCAGTAATTTTTTTGCAATGAAAATGTATTGCTGATATTTTTACTATAAAAATGTATTGCTGGTATTTTTACTATAAAAATGTATTACTGATATTTTTACTATAAAAATAAATCTTTATATTTTCATAGTGTTTTGTTTGGGCGTTCACTATTTGCCCATAATAGATAGACTGGGATAGATGTTCTAGTTTCATGTAACATGTTAATGGATATCAGTTATCTCCTGTTAATTCCCCTCTCCAAATTCTCTACTGCCTTAAACGAGTATTGAACTCACACTCTTTTGGTCCTCTCACTGGATCTAACCAACGCCTTTATCCACTGTGCCATGTGTCCTCGAGGGTAAGGCTAGCCCAGTGAACGAAATAAACGGTTTAGTTCGACATTCCAACCACCTGAAGAAGGCCAGAGCGTACAACGGCCGAAACGTTGTAATAAATATGGCGACGAAGATGAGAACAATAGTCCGAATAATGTAAATAGTGTACATAATACCTCATCTCAGAAATATAGACAGATACTGAAGGGCCAAAACGTTGTGATAAATATGGCGACAAAGATGAGGACAATAGTCGGAATAATGTAAATATTTTACATAATACCTCATCTCAGAAATATAGACAGATACTGAAGGGCCGAAACGTTGTGATAAATATGGCGTCAAAGACGAGGACAATAGTCCGAATAATGTAAATAGTGTACATAATGCCACATCTCAGAAATATAGACAGATACTGAAGGATCGGTATGACCCGATATACCGAAAATATGGAAAGTCCTCAAATCCTGTACATAATACCTCATCTCAAAAATATAGACAGATACCTCTATGTGTTTTTAATGCCGAAATATACATATTTTTTACGTAATTTTATATTTTCAGAGTTGAGGTATATTTTTTACATATCGAAGGAGGGCTTGGAAAATTTGATACTCACAAGACATATTGAGGGCAAGAGAGACAAGAGAAAAGAGTAGGCCATCGACCTGAAGAGGTTGAGTGTATGGTTAGCGGAAAATGAGACGGGGGTCTTGGCAAAAAGACAAATGTTGGTAATGGCTGAAAAGGATGTGAAGGACAGAAAACATGGAAGACGCTTCCCTTCGCCATCAGTCATCCTGCTTTTTAGTGTAGACAATGTTATGTTTATTTTATTTTTTTTTTTTTAGATATATAGTTTCTAGATCATAAAATGTATTGTTTGTAGTTCTACTATTATTATGGTAATTTACCTATGCATGCATGGACTCTCCCAGCTATAAATAAGAGCAGGTACTGCCTTTTGGAGTGAGGGAAATTTCCAGCAGTCAGCTCTGACAGTCGGACCAAACCTTCTTGCTGTAACACTCTCATTTGTATATGTTTGTATTACTGTTTCTGTTAATATATTTTAACTCAATCCCTGTATCGTGTCTTTATTTCTGGCCCTAACAAGGCTACAACAACTCTAAAAATGTATTTTCACATTTTTTTAGTGTTGCATTGATTGTCCTTTTGCTATAAAAATATCTTGTTGCTCATTTATTATAAAAAATGTACTGTTGATTTTTGTTTGTTGGGTCACTGTTTGACTATAGCTGGGGCCCTAAACAGATGCTACCACACCGTGTCTTGTTTGACTCGTAGACAACAGCAATTAAGAGGTGGTTCCACGCTTCTCAAAACCCCGATCAGAGGGCTTGCTGCTGGATGTAGTTTATCGTCATACCCAGGACGCGATCCAATATTAAGCGTTACTGTCGGTTGAAATTTATATAGGCTTGAGAACTTAGCAATATTATTTTTATTTATGTCTTTTTATGTTTTGAGAAGCATATATATATATATATATATATATATATATATATATATATATTAATTTCAATTATAGGTGCAATTATAATTTATAAATTCATGAATCATTCATACAAAAAAACAAATATAGAGGTTAATGATTTAAATGGCGAGAATACATCTTCACAAACAATATAAATAAGATACCTACAGACATCATCAGGTATGGAAGTAGATTTTGTTCTTGTTTTTACTTCTCGGTAATAAGAGGACAACGAAAATAGAGATGTAATCCGAAAAATGCTATGAGAAATGTGTTATTGTTTTGGAACGTGCGGTCGCAACGCTGAGTTTGAATTTTAAATTTTAAGGTTGTGCGTTTTTGTACAAGAGAATTCTTTTTTACTGGTAGATTTTCTGTCTATGTGGCATGAACTATATTGTTCAATAATTACAGTAATGTCACACTTATTATCCGAAAGTTGCACGTTGGATCAGTTACTTTAATTTCAATTATAGGTGCAATTATAATTTATAAATTCATGAATCATTATTATGAATTATTCTTATTAGGAACAGACGAAAGCTTGTAAAAACTAAAAAAGACCTTATGCAACTGGAATTTATAAACAGGGATCATATCATTCATATACAGGTTCGGGGTTATTGTATCTTATTGATATTGTTTGCGAAGATGTATTCTCGCCATTTAAATCATTAACCTCTATATTTGTTTTTTTTTTTTGTATGAATGATTCATGAATTTATAATATATATATATATATATATATGTGTGTGTGTGTGTGTGACTAAGGACGGAATTCTGAAAGTCAGGAATCTTCCATTCTCTATCTTAAAAACGACTTGAAAGAGGCCGTTTATCAAACACTAGGACTGATCAAAATTAAAGATAAAAAGCAAATGAAAACTACAGATAAATTTCAATTTCTTCAAATTTAAAAAGATAATTTTGCATTGAATTTAACTATATTGTCGACATGGAAAAAATCCCTTACTATAAAGGTAATTTACATTAACCATAAAAAAAAGGCTTAGACACAAGCGTCTATCTTTTTAAATTTGTTTTTTTAATGTAACTATAACAACAAAAACATTTCGATTTCATTTTTGCCTTGAAAAACTCGGAAGACGAAACGCGTCGGTAAAATCTAAGATTTTTTTCCATTTGTCATTTTATACCAATCTGTCTTGTCCACAGAATTCATCTGGGAATTTAACCATGTATAGATAGATAGATAGATAGATAGATAGATAGATCTAGTGAGCCAGACAAACCTACCTAGGTTTCACCTAAACGGATCGTCAGGGAAAGTTTGGCTATATCGGTGTTTTTTCTTTGGGCTTCAGACCTGCATCTGTGCGATTTTTTGTCGGCAGAAGTTCATGTTTGTAGCTCTTTCTTTTTTTAAAACCTTTTTTTCCCTCGAGATTGATTTGATTAACAAATCAAAAATTCGAGGGTTTTTCGAAACGAGTCTAGTTATCTATATTTATATATATATATATATATATATATATATATATATAACAATAATAATAATAATAATCAATCGACTCTCCCGTGGAGATTCGGCGTATGAGGGTAAGGAGATCAGTTTCCAGGAAAACCGACAGCCCGACACCGACAACATGAGATTTGATTATAGTGGTGAAGGCTTCGTGCAGGACCATTCACACTTTTTGAAGGGACGAATACAGAGACCTGGTGCACCGAATGCCATAAGGTTCCCAAACGACCCTCCGCAGGTTTTGAATTCAGACTTGTCCTTCTCCTAGACCAGTTGCCATCCAAGGCTATAGAACCCAGTCTATCCTGCTATTTTACCCATAGCTGGAGGGAGAGGAAGAGGATTCATACCTTTCCCAAAGGGTATTGGCATATATATATATATATATATATATATATATATATATATATATATATGCGTATTACCAAGTTCTTTTCGACATATCCTAAAAATCCAAAAAATATTAATATACAACCCAGTGTGACTCAAAATTTTAATTTTTTAATATCTTTTTATTGTCCAAAACATATATATATATATATATATATATGCGTATATTTCAGCAGCATCTTTTCATGAAGACATGTTTCGTTGTACAATTTAGACACATTCTGTCTGCTCATTTTTGTTATTCATGTCATCATCAGGGTATTGCTTATAATAAAATTGATACTATATAATAACTGATAATATAATATCATAGATTCAATGATTTTAGAGGGTAGCTAGATTGGGGTCTGCACCAGAGAGAGAACATATCCTCGCGGAAGAGTACAGCCAGTGCCTGATTTACATGTGGGCTAATATGTGGTACAGACTAAGAGGGACACCCTCCTATATTTGGACCCCAGCGTCAATTTGTTAACATGCTTCTCTTTCACGTAATAATAATAATAATAATAATAATGTGTCCGATACACCCTTATCAGTCTGGGTGCCGTGTATGTGAATGTTAACAAGTTTATAGCTTTTGTGTGTATTTTTGGTCTAGGTGTGTTCAATATATAAACAAAGAAGATAGAAGTAGCATATAAAAATGAACATTTTTCTACCTGGAAAGTTTATTCCTTTTACACACTATCATAGATGGAAGGAAGTCATAGATAATCAGGGAAATCCATTGTTGATTGAATCTGTAATTAAATGTAACATTCGGTCACTTGTTTTCTTTATTCAAAATTTGGACAGAACTTATGGGATGACCTGATAATTCCATTACTGTAAAATTCTTTTGCCTTTGATTCGAAGATCTAACAAATGTCAGTTTTAACCTCTTCCTGTATTACAAAAGCTGTTTCTTCCAAATGATTCTGTAAGCTCCGAAACAAATGGTAGTCTGAAGGAGCAAGATCGGGAAAATAAGGTGGATGAGGAATTTTCTCCCAACCAAGTTCTTCGATCTTTTGTGACGTGATTCTTGCCGTGTGGGATCGCGCATTGTCCTGATGAAACATCACCTCTTTTCGATTCACTAGAGCAGGTCTTTTTTTTCCTCAAAGCTTGGCTCAAACGCTCTAATTGCTAACAGTATATTTGTGCATTAATTGTTGCATTAGGTGGTAAGAATTCAAAATGGATTATTCTTTATTGAAAGAAGAACCTTTTGCCCATGAAGTTCACTTCTCGGCTGTGGCTGGGGTTATTCCCCTTTACCAAGCCACTGTCTTCGACGCTTAACATTTCGATAAAATATCCATTTTTCGTCGCCAGTCACAAGTCTATCCAAAAAAGGTGAAACAAGTTGGCGAGAATGGAGAGAAGAGCAGATGTCAACTCGGGATTTGAGGTTGTTTTCAGACAATTCATGAGGCACCCATTTTCCAAGTTTAGGAACTTTTCCAAGTTGTTGAAGATGACGATGAACAGTTGTATGGTCTGAACTGAGAACCACTGCCAATTCCTCAACTGATAAAGCAGGATTTTCTTCAAGGGCTGCTTCAAGAAGCTTTTCATCAAACTCAACTGGACGTCCGGTTCGATCTTCATCTTCAAGGGTGAAATCTCCACCTCTGAATTTTGCAAACCATCTTCTGCAAGTTCTTTCATTCACACATTCCTCTCCATAAACTGAGTGAAGGTTTCTAGCCGCTTCGGCTGCTGAGTTTCCTTTCTTGAACTCATAAAGCATTATGCGCCTCAAATGATTCTTGGGTACTTCCATGTTAGCGGTGTTTTAATCAAACAAAATTTAATTTTATTGTTCTCTGAAATAAAATTTGATCAGTTTAAATGCATCTAAACATAAAAATAATGTTCATCTCCATTAGACATTATAAAATACTCTTTAAATTTCGTTCATTTTAACAAAAAGTTAAAATTCGGACAGAACTTATGGGATGACCTGATACAACCATAGTAACGCCGTTTAGGTCAGACGCCTTCGAATAACACTCGCACTAATAGTACTTGCTCGATAATACTCACTCGACAAGTAACCACCGAATAGCGATCTGAATACAGAAATAGTGAATAGAGTAGAGAATAGCGGTCCGAAGATAGAGGAGAAATGGTGATCCGTATAGTAATAGAGGATAGACTAGAAATAGCGATCCATATAGAATAGAGGATAGACTAGAAATGAAGATCGTTTAGACGTTACGCTACTTTCTATTTATGCGGTTCCTCTGTGGTTACGTGATCCAATTAATTCAATAATGAGATCGCCTAGTAGTTACTAAAGGCTATAATTCACTTTCCGCACCTCCGCGTAAGCGCTTTTCGAATCCCAAAGCCGGAAAGGGAATCTTCAGTCTTGATATGGGAATAACGTTCCATTTTTTTTTATGTCAACGAACACTCGTTGCCACTTTTGTAATCCCAACGAATAACCGTTGTCACTTTGTGTTATGGTCCGGTTCCTTGTACCACGGTGATAGTCCAAGGTAGAACCAATAAAGAAGAACTCGAACACAGGTATGGAATAACAGAGATATATTACAAACAGGAATATATACAGAGAAGTAGAAAGTGTTAGTACGAACAATCAGGTTTAGTCGGGAGAACAATGTAGCCTCGACCAGTATCACTATTCCAATATCTTGCAGTAATTGTCTGAACGCGAGTCTGTTTCGGACTGCCTCTGACTCGACTGACTGACTCGCTCGCTCTGAGTGACTGACTGACAGACTCCTGACGGACTTCACTCCAGACTTCAGACTAAACAGTATTTAGTCACCCCACCACGAGGGCATCATGTGGCACAAGGCCAGTTTAACGTGGCATCTCCGAGCCCGTGGGCTCGGCCAAAAATATGCCCATTGAATCCGTATAAACGGGTTAAGGGTCGGTTTACCTCCCCGAAAGAGACACCGCCCTTCGGCGTAGCCTCGTTCGGGTTCCTCCCCGCCCGAAGGCAGAGAGTTCAACCGATCAGCCGATCAAGCCGGTCGCCCGACTTCGGACTGAACTCCCCGCTTCCTCTTGAGGCGCAGTATTTATTACGTATGGAATAGACCATTATGTTATTATGTGTAAGGTCCCATAACACTTTGTAATGTTCGTCGTAGTAGAGACTTTGTAATAGCAGATACAACTCTAGTAACGCCGTTGGTGTCAGGTGCATTCGAATATCCCTCGCACTAATTGTACTTGCTCGATAATACTCGCTCGAATAGCAATCCGCAGATTGATCTGAATACAGAAATAGTATAGTGAATACAGTAGGGAATAGCAGTCGAAGATAGAGTAGAAATGGTGATCCGTATAGTAATAGAGGATAGAATAGAAATAGCGATCCGTATAGAACAGAGGTTAGACTAGAAATGGGGATCGTTTAGACGTCACGCTACTTTCTTTTTATGTGTTTCTTGTCTTGCCACATGGCCTACTTAATTCAATAATGAGATCGCTTGTTTTTGCTCACTGGCGATCTATGTGGACACTCAAGTGTCGGCAGCGATACTGTATTCCTATAAAACATGAAGTTATCTGCGCGCTGAGTTGGGAAGACCGAACCTCTACTTAATGGTTGGGGATGTTGAAAACACGTCCGACAATGTCTTCAGTAAATCGAAAAAGTTCATTCGTCAGTGAACCAGGGAAACCTGGGTTGACCTGGCAACAACAGAAAATATCCCGATCAGATGCCTTGCTGCCAATGTTAGTTTATCTTCATAACTAGGACAGATCTCACAAGTGCTACAACCCCTCATCAGGATTCAGTTGGGAACAACCATAATTAAAAAGTAGTTCCACGCTTCTCAAAACCTTCAATCTCCAGACCATAGGCCTTGCTGCTGAATGAAGTTTAGCATCATATCCAGGATAGTCTTAACCGGTGCTACCACACTGGATCAAGGTTCACCTGAGAACAACCGTAATTAAGAGGTAGCTCTACTCTCCATTAAAACTCCAATCTCCCTATCAGTGATCTTGCTGCCGTGTGTAGTTTATCCCAAACTGTCCTAACTGATGCTACCATCCCAGGTCAAGTTGTACCTGGGAACAACCGTAATAAATAAGAGGTTTTACGCTTCTCAAAACCTCCAATGTCCAGATCACAGGCCTAGGTTGAATAAGTCCGGTGAGAAGACACATCCTTGCCTTCCGCCTCTTTCAACGTGTAATAAACCCCGATACCAAGTTTGTAAACATATTATCACCGATAGTATTTTTTGGTCACCAGTTCTAATCTTCACGGTTATGACTCGGCATGCCACACACATTGTAGCGAACCAGCCTCATTCCCTTCATATTCCACTGGTGAGACCTAAGTTCCACTCAAGCAGCTTCTTTCTACGAAACATTGCC